AGAGTCGAAACGACATGAGAAGAGAAAGTTCATTTAAAATAAAACTTGCTTGAAAATAATGAACCGATTTGCATGTGCTATTTTATTCCCTTTTTAGAGAAATCAATTTCGCTCAAAAAAAATTGATATTTCATAAATCCGTTTTTTGGTTTGTATTTAAGAACATACACACCTGGTTTTCAATTTTGAAGTTAGAGTAAAAATAGCGAAGATACGTATTTAAGGGTTTTTTTTTCAATTTTTAAGAGTCGGTAAACGTAGTTCAGACTTAATAAAGATCGTGATGAGTTTTTTTTGTTTTTAGGAAGTCTTAAAATGCTCTGATAAATGAAGAAGTGCATTCATAAATTAATGCGTTTTTGGTCTCTTTTCCAGTTCCCCCCCTTTCAAAATACCGAGTATTATGTTTGTTTTACGTGTTAATACGGCTAAATGCGTGATGTTACGCTGTAAAGTATGAAGAACAAATCTGTTCAGAATTGTCGATTTGTTCACCACGCCAAATTTCATTGCATTATGACAACGTTAAAAAGACTTTTTAAAATCGAAATTCATAGGGGGGGAACTGGGAAAGAGCCCGTTTTTGAATGCCCTAAGGTATATGTGAATTTTTTGAGCGCCATTCAAGTTCATTTGCTTAAAGCTTGGCAAAAATCGCTTTCCAATTAGGCAACATAGGCAACAAGATTTTGGGCGAAAAAATAAGATCGATTATGCAGTTTCGAGAGGGAAAGTTTTCCCACTTGCGATCAGCTTTGTGTTTTTGTACGAACCTTTTTTGTTTCCTACCTAAGTCGCAAATAAAAATGCTCACTTATTTGGAAATTCCACGGTAGCTTTGGAAATTGCATAGCATCTGTTCTCTGTTTAACTTGTGTTTAGTGTTTATTAAGATTATGTGGCTAAGTGGTTAGTGTGGGAGTCTCTTGTTCGCTAGGTCAGTTTCGAATCTCAGAGGTTGATGAATTTTTTACTAATTCAAGACTTATTTATAATTTTTATTATTGCATTTTCTAGAGCTCACTTTTGTTGTGTTCTCGCAAGTATTTTTTCGAAGCGAAGCTACGCCACTGTGTTTATATATTCGAGCGGGAAAAAACTCAACCTAAGGCTCCAATTTTTTCAAATCAGATTACTTTCATGAAAAAAATTGCAGTTTTAAATTGCTTTTAAAATTCAACGAGCTTCAAGAATATTTTTGGGTTTTTAAAACTCGCATGGCGAAGTTTTTTTTTTGCAAAAACAGTAAGTTTTTTTTCTGCGCGTTCATTGACTCTTTTCCTACTATAGTTTCTCTTATTTAAAAGTATTCAAGTTCTAATCAACTGTTTCGGTTTCCTTGTTTTCAATTTTTCCAATGATCTGTTGGCTAGGTTTTATTTCCAGTGAAATAAGGGGGCAAAAGTATTCAAAAGTTTCAATCAGCTGTTTCGGTTTCCTTGTTTTCAATTTTTCTAATGATCTGTTGGCTATGTATTATTTCAAGTAAAATAAGTGCACTACGTATAGATTCAGGTTGTTTGCACTTGCGAAGCGAGCGTACTAGTACGAACTTTCTTTTTTCCAACATAAGTCACGAATATTGGTGCCATTTTTGGGGCAACTTAACAGCTTTTTCATAGCATGTGCTTTGACATTTGAGTTTTCGTAAATACCGTGGCTGAGTGGTTAGTGCGTGAGACTCAAATTCGCTGAGTCGCAGGTTGGAATCCGACACCTAGCCGAGATATTGCTAATTCGAGGCTCGTTTCTACTTTTTTTTATTTAATTTGAGAGAGCTGCTGTTTGGTGGTCTTCTCGCAAGTGTTTGCGAAGTGCAGCTTCGCCTCGTATAAATAATGTATTCTTACCGTCAATTTTTCTTAGTTAATTTGAATTTCTCCGCTAAATGAAATGGAGGACATGGCCAAAGAATTTCTCCAAAAGAAGAGATGCAAATAGCTTAAGTAGTTTTGAAAAAGTAGAATGATTTATAGACTTACCAGCTAAAGAATTGGTTGCTTACTTACTGATAATGCGTTCGATTTGCTAGGTGCTAATTGACGTAGTGAAGATCCTTATATAGAGCTTGATTCTTTTTGTTTCTACCATCCAAAAACTGTAGAGGAACTTTGTATTCGGGTGTGTTTTTTTTTGTTTTTTTTTTAAATGATTTCCAAGCAAAATCAGGTAACACAAACAATCATCAGATATGGTCGATTGATATACTAAGATAATTTTTTTTAGTCGTGATCGAGAAAAACTAATTAAATTTTTAGTTTGAGCGTTATTTGTTTTAATTTCGAGCAACTAAAGCAATAAAACAGGCTTGAAAAGCTTGTTTATGCTTAGTTAAAGTCCTAAAATTTTAGTTTTAAGCAAGTAAAATCAATTTTTGAAAATTCATAGCGCCATTTTGGGAACTAATAGTTTCAACAAAAGATTTTCAAAAGTTTCCGACAAAAGATTTGTTTCAGTGACTGTGAAATATGCTTAAATTATATTTCTAAATCATATCCTTTCATCAGACAATGTAGATCAAAACTACCGAATTTCGGGAAAAAAAATTGTAGTTTTTTTTTGAAAATTATGGTCAAAACATTTTGTGCTACTTGCACAGTAATTAGCTATCTTTATTTTGTTTGTCTTTTTTACAGTATCTGTAAGTTTACTTTTGATTTTTTGCTGTTTGTCGTTGAAGGTCATTGAAAAAATAGTCCGATTTCAATTTCAAAAAACGTTTTTTTTTTTCAGATTTCCTCGCGGAATATATGATTTAAATATTGATTCAGTTTCTTAAATTTGGTTCTATCAAAAGAGAGCCAACAATAAAATGTTCTGGAAGTTTGAAGAGTTTCAAAGCCATATCTTTTGAAATTGAAAGTTGAAATGTTTGTAACACTTTCCTTGTCACCGCCTGTAAAAGTTTGGCAAGCGTATTAGTTAAACCATGGCAAACGTATTTGGTCATCATGTTTATTATTTCAAAACCTCTCGTTACATCAAAAAATTGATGCTTATGTGAGCTTGGGGAAATAGGAAAAAAAAGCCGTGTTTGTAAGAAACAAGTCAGTTTTTTTTCTGTTTCTTGGCGCTTATTAACTTTTTGTAGGCTTGCGATTAGGATACGTAATCAAACCGGTGTTTCGACGTTTTTTCGGGCTAGCAGTTTGTTTAACAGAATTTTTTGTATCTTGGTTCTTTAAGAGTTCAAACTTCTAATCGTTCCCGGTTAATTTAGCCTGGAGGTAACGAATATGGCTGGGACGGCAAAAGACTTAGGTTCGAATCTGACTAGGACCTGTTTTTTTTCAAACGGGAAAAGTTCTGTTTCAAATAAAAGGGTCGGCCAATTTTTGTCTGCTTATCTGTTGTTGGCTTGGTTGTCACATCATGGAATCATTTTTTTTGCTACGCGCATTTTTTTAAATGTTGCTTTTACTGTTTGATTTTCTCCTACAATTTGTAATTTTACTTATATTGACTTCGTATTTTCTTCTTGGTTTTTAATTTTTAGCAAAAAAAATCCGGCCTAAATTATTTTGTATTTTTTTCGGCTTATTGACCTAATTTTGGGTCTTGTCAAGAGAAACAGAATTTTAGCATCCCTCTCCGCACTTGTTTTGTAGAACTTTTCTTTCCGGTTTGTTGAATACTCCCTTTTTTCTGTATGGAAATTTATTTCCAAGTTTGTTCAGAAACTTTTCACAAAAAGATGTCGAATGAAAAAGCATCCTTCTGACTTTTCTCGAAAGCTCAACTCTCAAATCTGATATTGTGGGTTCAATGGAGATAACGAGAAATGTGAAGCTTTCCTGCATTGGTGGCCACTCACGAATTACCTACAAAAAAGTTATCGCCCTTTAGTCTTTTGGTTATTGTTAGTTGCTTTTTGATTCACTTTTCACCTTAAAGTTTGTTCGCGCTGATATTCGACCTAACTCAGCGGTTTACTATCTGTTTTCAGAAAGAACTTACATCTTAAGGTTTTGAAACTAGATAATTAGATTTCTGGATAGTTTCATCAAATTAATGCTTGATTTTTTTAAAATCTTGATTTTTTTGGAATTTTTTCGTTCTGCTCGGATCAAGTTATTATCCCTCCCCCCATATAAATCAATTTAAGATCTTCCAACCCAGCATGTAATTTGCAGTATCTTTGATAAGCGCTGCATTTAAAATGCTCGATTCTGATTGGCTGAAAACACAACATATAAAGAGACAGCATAAATTTATTGTGTAAAATTGTTATTCCAGCAATATGCAAGTTAGAAAAATTTTTCACAACCACTCAATTGTTCTCACACTGACAATAGCATAATTCATTGCGTCATAAAGAGTTCGGAACGCATGAAACAAACAAATTTGTAACAAACAAGACTGCTCGTTTATCAGGGCAAAGCCCTGATTGTTCCGACTGTCCCTTAATTCATATCGAATAGTTTTTTGGAAAAGAAAATTTTAACATTGCGAGGCAAAACTGTGCATTTTGGGAAATGTAAGTGGATTCCGCAACAAGGACGCTCCTTTTGTTCTTCTTTTGCTCTTTTATTTCCTTTGATCGTTCCGACAAATTTTAAACATGTTTAAAGGCTTGTCACTGGAATACAGGAACAAACAGACACATAATTGTGCGCCTATCCAGTGCAAAGTTTGGCTTCGTAACGAAAAACCTACAAATTTTGGACAATATCAAATTTGAAAATTTGAGTCGTACGAAATTAATACGACCGATTAGCCTGCCTCGATTCAATTTGGAACGGTTTTGTTGTGCGGGATAATTCGCCACGCATAAATAATTTGCATTACGCTCTCAGCAATATGAATAATTATTTCAAAGTGCGCATAATTTAGTCCAGATTATGGCCAATTTGGCAATTTTCAAACTCCTCAGAACTTTACAAAAAATAATCGGAGGTAAAATATTTTTTTAAATTTGAATTTAGGAAGTCGATATCTTCTATGGGGTATAAAAATTTTTGTTGAAAACTATTATTTCGATTGGCAAAAATTGACTAAATTAAAAAAACCCACACCGAGCATAAAAATTTCGTTTTTCTTCGAAAGTCGGAACAATAATTTTTTCATTTTATGAGCGTTGGGGATGAAAAAGAGCCGAAGTTAGCAGTTCTAATTGAGTTATGATATGTTCTTATGATATCTCCATGTAAGCGTAGTGCATGAGGAATCCGGCCACGATGAGAGCGGCCTTCTGCTTCACAGAGAGGTCGATGTCCATCTCAATGTAGAACATCTCGTGGTCCATGTTCACCATCTGCAGTCTCGGACCCCAGATCTTACTCACCACTCCCAGCTCCTCCCCTGACGAGAACGACTCAATCGTGATCTTGTTCTCAGTGTTGCACCTGAAATGAATCATTGATTGCCAAAACACAATGCATTAATTGATGCTTTTAACAGGCAGGGTAAAATATCATAGAAGGTCAAAATGACGATGTAGTTATACAATTTCGTTACTGTTGATGTTGACCTATGCATGAGACACTTGTTTGCAGTGAGTATGGCGAATGGCTCCCTCTCCTTGCTCTCCCCGCCTTCCGCTGCTGCTGGCTCATCCCCTCCACTCAACTCGGGGTCCACTGAGTCATACACCAGGTACTGGTCATGCTGGATCTGGAACTTCTGCTTCACCTGAGGAAAGAGTTCACCTCTTCAAAAGTTTGACGGATGTCTAGAATCTAGAAGACAGTAACTTCTGTCTGGACTTTTATCAGCAATGGATTTAGCAAAATTGGTAAAATGGCTAAAATATGGCGTCCTTTTGCTTGAAAAAACCATTATTAAATTCGAACAAAGTTCCTAGTACAGAAGTCTTCAAGTACCAGTTTCTGGCATTGTTGCAACAATAATCTTTATTTTTATTGGACTGCAAAAAAACGCATAGAAAGTTTTTGTTAAACTGGCATTTGACGCATGACCATTTGTTTGTTCACACTCCTTACTTGTGCGACTGAACTGCCAGTCTTGGCCTCTGCGATGACCTGGTGCAGACACAGTCCACACACCAGTCCATCACACCTCCCTCTCTTCAACATCTCAAACACTGGGTTGCCTAAACATGCCACAAAATATAAATGAACTACCCGCACTCACAAAAATAGTTTCGGATCGATTTAAATTCAATTTAAATTGAGTTTAAATTGATCTTTTCTTAAAATTTGGATCAGTTTGACGGTCTAAAAAACTTGTTTCAATAAATTCAGATGGCTTTTCCTGTTCTTTAAAACCTATTCGAATGTTACTCAAATCCATCCGATACTTGCTAAAATCCATTTAAATTCATTTTAAAAGACACCTGAGTTAATCAATTTTAGAGTCTACGAATCCATTTCAAATCAAGTTATATCATTTTTTTTGCAATACCAGCCTGTGATACCAACAAGGATAATTATAACTCCTGAATGAAAACTAATAAGATTTTGAATGGTAAATTTGGACTCGACTCTTTAGTCTTTTTGTGCACATGCTAAGTGTGTGACTGAGTTCCGTATAATCATACGGTAGACTGACTAACAGTCTTCTGATGTTTTAGGTCGGCACAATATGGCCTTGAAATTAAACTAACAATAGTTTTTTCAGATAACAATATGCGACGAGCTTAATACTATTGCTTTAGACAAGCTTGGAAGTGATGTATTACTATTCTGTTCTCCTGAAGCCGGTTGCTCTATAGCTGCTGCTGCAGTTTTTGCTTTTCGTGCTTCGTGGGTACTTGGTTTTTTCTCTTTCGTTTGCGGGGTGCCCTCCTCCCGGATTTTTGGGCTGCTTATTATCGGTCCTGCATTGTTTGGCTTTGCCCTTTTTATCGCCAAATTCACCCCCTTTTTAGATGTTACAATCGATACAGCCGATGCAGCATTTCATCTTCCGAATCTATTTCCAGAGGTGGGTCGATTGTTTTTTTTTTCTAATGCTTTCCTTTAGGTTCTTCTGAAATTGGGCTATTCTCTTTCCCCGGTTCCTTGTATTTACTTGGTGACTGTATGTCCACTTTGGCTTATGCAAAATCACTTTTTCGATATATAGCCCCAATGCTGTTTTGACAGTAGAAGGTGTCTCTGGTGTCTTACTTTTCCTTTCCGCGGTTTCGTCGACGCTTTGCCACTTTTTCTATTTTGATCTTTTCGGAGAAGATTTTGCGACAAACTGCTAGACTGCCCCACCGGTTTTTTTTGATTAACCCTGCGTTCCCACGAATAAATAAAAATTCGTTTCTTTGATCCGGGTTTATTATGCTGATTTCGCCGACGATCCTTCTAATATTATTCGCGAACGTGTCCCTTCGTGTGGCATTCCATCGGGCGTTTGCATCAAGGATAGCCATTAGGGCCTGGGCTTGTTCTCGATCTTTAGCCGAGTTCACTCACTGTTTTAACAGCGGGCTCATATCAGTGGCTGTTCTGGCCTTTCCGAACGATCTTTACATTGTCCCGTGATTGGTCAATGCGCTTCTCCAACTGTGAAGCCGTGAGGGCCGATCGCTCCAATTGCTCTTTATCTAAATTATCAGATTGAGTTAAAAATTTTTCCCGTATGAATTTAATTTCTGTTTTTAGCAGTCGTCCAAAGTGTGCCTCAAAAAGTGAAAGCTTTTCACTTATTCCACCTAAAGTCTCGTATTATTGTGCTAAGACATAGCGACGTTTTCATCAAATAGCATGACCCTAAGTCTCCTTTTGATTGTTTGTATAGTTCTCTCGATTAGCCCTAACCCTCGGTGGTCACCCACAGAACAAAACTACTGTTTTAGAAGTAAATTTTTTCATCGCTTAACTCTTGAAGCCAGAAAACTGATTGGTTTTTATTGAATCGGGTGTTCCGTGAGTATCGCTGTAAGTACGTACAAATTTTATCGAAAATTATTCCCCTTTTGACTTTGTAATTTTTACCGATGGAAATTTAGAACACCACTCTGTGGCTACTAGCAAATATTTTTTCTTTCCTTTATGGTCTTCAAGGTGTCCCGCGTAATTTAGCTGTAAATCTTGACCTGGCTGACTCACCAGAAGGAGAGGTTTTGTAGCGTTTTTAGGAACAACAAATTTTTCAAGTTTACCGTAGCGTAGGCAGCTCATTCACTCCTCTACCAAATTGACAATATCCATACGCATAGTGGGCCATCAAAAGTAGTTTGAAACGTCCAGCCTTGCCTTTTGTCCAGGACGGCCGAGATGGATCCGCTTTACGCTTTAACACCGCTGGGCGCCATTGACGAGGAACTTCCAACCGAATATCCACGAGAATACAATCATCTATGAGCGTCATCTAGTGCCATAGTGGATTGATGTACCGGCCCATGAGCTCAAAACTGTGACGATCATTTCGCTCAATGACCCTGCGATGCCTGTGCATCCACGTATTTTTGGCGATTAGTTCGGCTAGTAGGCTTTTGTCGAATAATTTTGCCAAATTACACAAGCCTCCTTGCCCGAACTGTTCTGCGAATCGAAATTTGTTTTGACGAGACAAGTGATTGGCTCGTCTTCCTTTGTGACTACGCTTACTTCTGGGCTTTCTGATGTGAGGTCCACCTCTACGATGGGTGTCCCCTCCTTCCTGCTGTTACAATCGAACGCTATTTGTATTTATGAGTTTAGACTGGTCATTTCTGATTTGGCCTCGAATTCTAACAAAATTCCGAGTCATCTGGCCTTTCTGCTCCTATTAGGTTCCAAAAGGAAACTAAACTCGGCGCTGCTTTGGCAGTTGACATTTTGGTCCTTGTCTGCGAGTTCGCCCTAATTTATCTGTCCATCGCCTTCCACTCGATCTGTGGAATGTCTGAACCGGAGCTGTCTGAATCGTACCGATTAGGTGTCCCTCTTTTAATCATCCTTGTCCTTTGGAAAGTTTTCTCCGTCATATCCCCTGTCACTCCTTTTTTTTCGCTACTGGTTTTAGCGCTTTTTTCATTAAATGCACTATTTTCTGTGATTTCTCCTTCTCTGGTTTTCTGTTATATTTGCCCATTTTTGTCCATCTTTTTCCATCTTTGTCCTGTTATCTTTCCGTATTCTTTGCGTAATTTTTCAGATTTCATGCTGAGCGACTGCAATGAATGAAACAATTTGCATAAACTGCCTTGTTGTGATTTTGAAAGTGAGTTTTGATTGTTTTTGTTCCGGTCGAGGGCTGTTAGTTTTGTACCGTTTTGGTTGCCATAGCAACCGTGAGATAAAGTGTTCCGTTTTTGCCTAGAGTGAATTTTATCTTTAAAATGTTCTAGAACTTTTTTAGTTTTGTTCGAGTCCCCTCATGATGGTAAGCCGATTGCTTAAACAGTCAAGAGATTTTTAAAAAATCTTTTTGTTGTCACATCGATTTTTAAAATCTAATTCCGACTCTGGCCACAGTTCCTCGTTCAGCTCTGTTGAAAAATAGTCTACTATTCCCATATCTTTCCCCAGAAAAAATTGATAAGTTAGCAATCTATCCACACATGGATTGAGTCTGGATTGATTCATTTTATTAGATCTGTTTTCATCTAGCGCTGATGTTAGAGCATTGCGATCGGTGGCTATCACAAACTACTTATGCAAGAGATAATGTTTAAATCGTACTACTGACCATACAAATGCGAGAAATTCAAGCTCGTTGGTCGAATAATTCTTTTCATGGGATTCAGATAGCGTGATGCAAATTCAATTGTTATCAAATCCCTTTCCTCAGCTTTTTCTTTGACTGTTGTTGCTAGGCCACTATGGCTGGCATCGCATTTGACTCGGGTGTCTTTGGATTGGTTATAATAGTTGAATTTAGTGATATTTGTTACCGCTTGTTTTATGTATTCAAATATTTTTGAGTGTCCTTTCCCATTCGAATTTTTTGACTGGTGCTAAAATATTTTTCAATTTTTTTCTTTTCATTTTCCTGCCATAAAAAGGGTCGAAGCTTAACCGTCAAACTAGCTGAGTTTAGAGAAATTTTTGATACTACCCATGAATGATCTGAATTGTTATAGAGATCTAGGTGGATGTACGTTTAGTAGCGTCTTTTTTTGTTTTTTAGAAGTGATTCCGCATTTGGAGAGTTTCAAAACAAGGAATTCTTCATCGAGTTTCTTGACTACCTCGAGAACCACTTCTTTGTGTTTATCTTCGTTACCTTTTGAGACAATTAAAATTTCATCTAAAAAACCAAAAATGTGTTGCTAGAGTGATTTATGATTCAATCCATAGCCTTTTGAAACTCTGCTCGCATGGCGGCCGGACCATAAAACCCAATAGAGAATCTATATGTCCCGTCGCTTGTCCCCTTACATTATTTAAATTGTCTTGCTTAGATGTTTCAGCAGTTAGTCTCATTTGGCTATAGGCATCTTTTAGATCCAGCAGTGAGAAATACAGCGTCCCGGTCTTTCGTTGTGGTTATTTGACTTACCCTGCCCAAAAGCTCATCAACAATGGGCATTTAGTACTGGTTATTGTACAATTGTCTATAAATGGGTTTTACGCCCAATGCTAATTTTATGGAATCATCTTTTTTCACTGTGATTACTATTGAAGCGATAAAATAATCAACAGTACATTTATCTTTTTTTAGTAGTTTTGTAAGTTTGATCAAGTTTAATCTTGAATATGAATGGGTATCCTTCTTCCTTACTCTTGTATTGGACATAAAGAATATTTAGTTTTTCGTTCACAACGTGATTCTTTGATTCCCCTTGGTGATCAAATTGGTAATTGAAATAATGGAAAACTGTTTTTTCCAATCTTCCGGCAGCTTGCACAGTAGCACGTCAAAGCTCGATCTTTCTTTGGGTGCTGGTTTCTGAGTTGTGTGAATCCGCTATTTGTTTTGTAGATCCAGACTCAAAATGCATCTTGTACGACGTTCGGTGATAAGAAACGATGCTACTGTCACCTCCCATCCCGCTGGTCGGATGTCTACTTTGAGCGCTTCCTTATCATAGTCGGATCTTTGTGGTATTCGGCAAACTGCGCTGACAGATTTAGTCTTTCGCCGGTGTGAGTTTTGTTTCGTTTTACATCTCCAGTATCTGCTTGGCCGGTGCCCAGTTTGAGAAGGATACCGGGATACCCGTATCTAGGGTCATGATTATATTTTGATTGTCAATTCTGACCGACGCTTTTAGCAGTTTAATGTGCTGTGATTGGTGATTTCGACAATTATCAATCTTTTGATAGTTTGTGTCTCCTTCCCGACTGGTTATCTTGCATCTTTGTTTTCTAATCGATGTTCGATGTATTCCTCAATTTGAACCAACGTTTTGAATCGAATTACTTTCTTTATCTGGACATGTTGTGTCTTCCGTCACTTCGTTTACTTGTTGTGAACGGCACATCTTGGCGACCTGACTGGGATTGTTACAATTTTGACATGACTTTCCCATTGCTGGACAGGTTTTCAAGTGTCCCTCCACGGACGCTTTTTCACACCTAGTGTACGGTTTGCTGTCTGTCCGGGGCCTTGAGTTGTTTCTGAATTCGGTTTTTTTCGTTTATACTGTATTCTGTTCGGTCGACTTTTGTTTTGGTTCCTATTGTCTACTGCCATAATGAGTTACTGTTTTATCTTGACTTGTGACCCAGCAAATTGGCCAGCGCTTGCAGTAGCAGCGAGTGATTTTTGAAACGCTTGTATCTTTTGTTTGCTCTGTTGGAACTTCAGAGCTCTTTCCAGGACTTCAATCGGTGAAAATGTTTCGAGTGATAGCGTATCGTGTAAAACCGTGTTCTTCATCTTCGAGATGAATTGATCTCTAACTAATTCGTCCCCCAGGTTGTCTAGCTCTGCTCTTGCTGCCTGTGCAGTTAAGCCGTATGGAGGGATTCCAGTGTCTCGCACGTTTCTTCAGATATAATGAACAGTTTGTACCTCTCATACGTAACACTTTGCGTTTTTATCGAACGAGGCTTTGGCTAAAATTACTATTCCTCTAAACTCAAGTTTGGAGACTTCCGTATGTGGTTTTTTTTCTTGAACAAATCTTTTCTTTTTTCCGTACCCAAGGCAAGGAGTAGTCTCGATGCGAGTCGTTTTTGCACGTCATTTTAATACACAAAATGGCCGAATTTTTGTCTCTTTCCTTTTTTTTCTTCATTTTTGAGCAGAACTCGGTCTCGCGCCATTTTATCTCTGGCTTCCCAATCTGTTCCTGTCTGAGCATCCTCATTCGCTCGTGGTGTCTCTGGGCTTGAAACGGGCTCTTCTAAGACTGGTTTTTGGTCTTCCAATAATATCTCTGCGTTACCGTTTTCCTTTAACGTCACTGCCAATAAAAAAAAATTCCAACCTTATTTTAAAGTTCCAGGGCGGGTCGGAATTCGCTGACGTCCAGAAAACAGGAATACCAATGTCAGTTCTACTGCCTTGAGACAAGAATCCTGCTGGTTGTGCCATGTGCAATTAACAGAGATAATTAAAACTCCTGAATGAAAACTAATTAGAATTCAAATGGTAAATTTAGACTAGACTCTTTAGTCTTTTTGTGCACAAGCTAAGTGTGTGACTGAGTTTCGTATAATCATACGGTACACTGACTAACAGTCTTCTGACGTTTTAAGTCGGCTCAATATGGTCTTGAGAATAAACTAGCAATAATATATACAGATAACAATATGCGCATCCCATGTTTACTGTAGCCGCAAGGTTACTGTACCACACAGCCAAAACAAATGCTTTTGAAAAAACAAAAAAGCAGGTTGGAGAGCAATAAATTGAACAGAATTTCTTGAATTTCACATCCTGTGCAAGTTTACGATATCAAAGTTTCCTAAGCAAACCCCAATTTTTTTTTGTAACGGCGCTTCAGCATAAGAAAATTAGAAAGGGATTACTAATGTTTTGGCAAAAAGAGGTATAAGCGGCTGGGAAAATTGATTCTGTTAGATTGACTATCGGTTTAACTACATAAATAAGATCAAAAATTGCACCAGAAAAAAGACGAAAAAGTTTTGAGTCGGCGTGGTTGATGGTTGTTAAACTTAATGAAAAATGGTTGCCGAGTTCAAACAAAAAGTTCAATTCTGCCTCTGATTTTTGGTTTCTTCTCTTCTGGTGGTAAATTGGTTTGAGCCTTTGCTTTTGATGCTAAAATTTTTTGCTTGCTTCTCAACCTAAAACACTAACAAAAAAGACTTTACAATGATTTACGGGGCTTAGGAAATTAGAAGATCGTAAAATTATTGAATTTAGACAATAATTTGTTGCGAATTTAGACAAAAAGAACTGGGCCAACAATTTTTTTTACCGATGGGAAGGGGGGTGACGGGGTGCGACCGCTCCTACCTCTCAATTCTGGTTGCCAAAACTTTTTCAAAGGTTCCTCCATTTGGTATAACTTAACGACATCCATTTTTGGCTGACCAACATCAAAGTTTTTCTGTTATTAAAGAAAAGAAGTGTTTATTCAAGCAATATTAAGTTCGTACCAGCATCGAGTTTCAGGAGTTAACAATCTATAATATTTTAATTTTAGGACCTGTCTTACCAAAATTGCAGAAAAAATCTAATATAATCAATTATTAAATGATTATAATATTTTGTTTCCAATGTAAGCATTTCTTAGTTCTTTAAAAAAATATAATTGATTTGAATCAATTTTTTTTGCATATATGTTCTCAAGCGATTATAAATTAAATAGGTTTGTGAAAACTAAATTTCAAAAAAGGAAAAGTTTTGAAGTTTCATAGGGTCACGTCAATAAATTAAAAAACGCGAAAACGCATGCATTTGGCTAGAAATTAGCGTGCAATTATCTTTGCTATGAGTCATTACCAATTAAATAAGTCTTTATAAATTTACCCCCAGGACGTTGGTTCCTATGAAAAATGAGAGCATTGTTTTGAAAGTTTTCAATCAATTCAAAATTATGAGGTTTTTTTTCTTCCCCATTAGAGTTGTTTTGTGATGCATATTCTAAGATTTTTTAATCATCAAAACATCAGCAAATTGATTTAATTTCCTGATTGATTCTGAAAATGTATTTTTCATCTACCGTGGGAATTTTTCCAGTAATATGAAAGGATCTCTACGAAACTTTTGTTTTGTGGTAAAACTTTATGTTCAGATGAACCAAAGAGTTCCAAAGGTCTCTCTTTTAGAGATTTTTTTTATTAATAACCCACACAAAATTAATAACCCATCAGATATCCTTCGAATATTGTTTTGATTTGATAAAATTTTGGCAAAATAAGAAATAAAGATCGGTTATAATCAAGTATAACTGATTTTAAGGCGTAAGAACTGATTTTAAGGCGTAACTATAATCAATTATAATCGATTATAAGAGATTATAATCTCTTGGAAGATATCACAATTATAATTAATTATAAATTTTGTAAACAACTAAGTTTGGTAATTATAATCAATTATAATTGTCAAAAAATCATCATAATAATCCGTTACAATCAATTAATTACGCCTAAACTTGGTTGCGGGTGAATTAAAAAAACCAAACCGAGCTTAAATATTCCGTTTTCTTCAAAAGTCGGAACAATAATCTGTCTCTATATAATTTGTTTCGAAGGGGGAAACAATTTTCACGCAATTGGGACGCAAGTTATTGTCTTCATTCATTTACTTTCGAATCGTCTAAATTTCTTGTTGTTTAATTTTCTTGCCGCCAAGGTTTTCCTTATAAACGGCTAATTTTTGTTTAAAAAAACATGCGAGGCTCTGGTTCCTTTGTTTTTTCGCAATTTTTGTAGTTTGATCATTTTCGTCTAAATTTTTTAGCATTCAATCATTTTAGATTTTGGAATATCAAAAAAATAGCTTGTGATTTGTAAATAATGGGGGTACTGTGGAAATATCCGACATGTCAAGCTTGCGAAAAACCAAGTTCATGCAAACCGACTACTTAAAAACATATGGAAAGATCCGATGTCTAGCCTTCGCTTAAAACTTGCTGTATTGGCACAAACAATTATAGCCGCCGAGCAGTCGCATTATTGTGATGCGAGCCTAAAAAAAACGGGTAGGATTCCTTATTAAAACTATAGCCAGCGGCGACAGACACACGCAGTGCAGCCCCTCCCACGCCGACCTTAAACCGAGAGTCGGCTCAGTTGGAATCAATTAATTGAGGTACATGTCTTGTTTTAGAAATTCTTTGGGAAGTTATCGTAATTATAGTAATTATCCTAATTTATTATCGTAATTATCTTAATTATTACATCGGGCGTTTGACATATCGGATGTTTGCCCCAGACAAAATGATATATAGGTATGAAAAATCTGCTGGTGGCAAAGCAAGCATCCGATATTGCGAACATCACAGAGCAAACATCCCAACTTACATGATAGTCACCCTAAATAAAAAGAGTTCAAAACGCAGGTTTTTCTTATAGAAAACAATTGCAATCTACTATGATTTGCCTTTTAATGCCTTCTTCAAAAAAAATCAAAAGAAAAATTACAGCAGGATAATCAAATGCAGGCCCATTTTGGGATGCAAACGGCCACCCAGCAGAAAAAAAACGAGTATTTAGACAATAGAAAAATCTTGAAAAATTTCAAAATCATGAATGTTTTTGATTATCTTTAATGATAATGGTCCAGTGTTGGATACCTGGTTCGTAGTTTCTAGTGCTTAAATGGCGAGAAAAATAGAATTTGAGCGTATCGCTAAATAAGGTATCGCCGTATTTTTAATATCGCCGTATTTTTTGAATACATTTGGATACTTCCGCCAGTAAAGCTGTTCTTCAGATGTTTGCGCTATTTGGTTTTTCCGTTTGCGCAAAAACACGTTCAGTTTTTAATTCTTAAACAACAATTTTCTTGCCATTCAAAAGCAATGGTCGTTTTTATACTCCTTTTTATTGGCGATGAAATTTAACTAATTTAAATAAGTCATTTAAGCTCGTTCAAAAGTATGGAAATAATACAGACTGTGTTGGTCTGTGAACTTTAGATGTATGTCCCTGGTGGGTCCGGCACACAACTTCTTAATCACACTGTCTTCCTCCTTGGCCATGAGTAACACATTCCTGTCCATGTCCACCACCTGGTACACATTCTCCTCCAGAAAACCAAATTTGGGCTCTAAACACAGCAAACATCTCGCGTTGGGCAATAATCTAGGCACCAAAATTCGGGAAAAGAATGATTTGATGCGTAAATACCTTGATAAAACTCGAACCCAGGTGCTTCACTTATTTTTCGACTTTGAAAAACCAGCGGGTGAGATTTTGCGCCTGTAAACCCGCGGTCCAGAAGCAATTTTAAGTCGAGCACAATGTCAAAAGTTACCCAAATTTGGCCAAGAAAGTCAAAGCATAGGTCGAGTACAGTAGTCCAAAAGTACCCAATTTTAGCCGAGAGAGTCAAAGCATAGAACAAGACACTTCTCATTTTTAGACAAACAAATGAAAACATATCGAGCTGTGGCCTGTCGAGGGGAATGGAGGCTTCGTGATTTTTCGGTGAAAAAGTTCCAAAAAATTATAAAGCGTCATTTTGGCCTGCTTTTCAATGATTTGTCATCTGCCGTGTTTTTTTTTTCATCGTGTTCAATAAAGCTCAGAAATTCAATATAGTACAAATAAAAATTCATCAAAAATTCGGTCAGTTTTTAAAAAGCCAACCCCCTCTCAAAAAATTCCCGCGGTCGCCACTGATGTTGAGCAAAACTATTGAGGGTTGAAAGCTGCGAGGGTTAAACTATTGAGGGAAAAAAGGCAAAAGCAACTCAACTCGACCAAACAAATTAATTTTCTTGTTTTGCCAAGAAAGTCAAAAATGTTGAGCAGATAGAAAGATATCTGAACTAAAATGTAGAAAGATATATCTGAATTACGTCGAGCAAAACCGAAAGAGTTTCTCGATACCAAAATTTTATTGAGAAAGTTTAAACATGCCCAACGTTGATCGAGACAGACGAAACACGCCGAATTTTGGTCAACTTGACCTAGAACCTTCTCATATCCGCAAAAACCCTAATCACTGTAGTTCCGATAACTCACAGATTTCAAGTAGATGCCTCAAAAATATTGGCAGTATATCAATTTTGAAAAACATAGTAGCAAATTTTGAACTATGAAATGAATTTCGAAAAGAGTGGCTTGTGTTCTTCTGTGTTTCATACTGATATACTGCATAGTTGAAACGAAAATGTATGAAATAACTGTAGCTTTCAATATTTACTGTAATAAACTCGATAGCGTGCCAAGGGGGTGGAGGGTTCGATGACTGCCCCCCCCCCCCCACAATTCTGGTTGCCATTTTTTTTCCAAAGGGTCCCCCTTTGGCATCATTTACGACTAGTCAAATTCAAAAGTTTTCGAAAGGCGCCTTTGGCGGCAATATAACTAAATTTGAGGGGCAGCCGTGCGCCTAAAAAACGCAACTTTTGACCAAATGATTTTTAAAAGTGCTCGAAACGTCCGTAGCCTGTTTTTTTTTAGCGGAAAAATGCCTGCGGCGCAAAAAGTTTTTGAAAAAATAGGGTCCTTATAGTATTTTCGGAGAGCTCAAAAAATTAAATTGGTCGACCTAAAAAAAAGTTCAATAAAACTTTCGATTTTTTTTTCGAAAAACCGCCCCCACCACTATCAATTTTTCTGAATACGCCACTAAGTAAAATTTTGACCATTTTGAAGCTCAATTGGAATCCATTTAAGCTGCCAAAAACGGCCGGAAAGGTTTTTTTGAGAAACCGGCTGTTCTTTTCTGCTATCTCAAAGTAAGATTTAAAACAAGCGTTTTTCTATAGATGGCGGGGTACTGCAATTTCCCAAAATTTCAAAAATTCAAACAGAAAAGATTTCTTCCACTAAAATATTATTTCTGAACGTTTCAATAATTCAAACAGAAAAGAACTTCGACTTCAAATAAGGAAGAGCCATATTACACCACACTACAAAACATCTTTTCTAATCCGACAATCTTGGAAAAAAATTATTCTCGCAAAGCCTGAATGAATATCGGTGATAACAACAAACAAACTACCTAAAGAGAAATTGGCAATTACACGTGAATGTAAAAAAAAGGTAAAAGTAGATTTCTTGACTTCTCTGGTTGATGTACATTTTGCTATCATTGGACGGTTCATATGAGCAAATGTACACTTTCATGGATTTTTTTAGGGTGAATGCAGTTATAAACTGATTCCAAATCAAGTTTTAACTCGATGTGCAACCAAGAATGTCTAAAATCAAATTTATTTGTGCTCTGATTTTCGAAGAAAAATTCGAAAAGTTTGTGCTCGGTGTGGTTTGTTTTTCTTCGGGAAAATTTAGACTTTTTAGTTTAATTTTTTTTTGAAAAATTTTAATACATATGACTGGTTTTGAAACTTTTCTGGCGATTATTTGTTCCTAGATTATGGTTGGTTGATTGTGAGACTAATTTGAACGCAATATTTTCAAATCAAAAGGTTTTTGTGTAAGTAACTGTTGCGGTAACGATTTTGGTGAACAATGAATTTCTTGACATCAACCTGCCTGAAAGTATTCAATGACCCAGTTGCACAAGTTTTCTAGCTGTTGGATATCTTATTTCAGAAGTCAGCAAAAATATCTGGAAAAATGCACGTACCCAGAGGATTTTCTGCGCAAGATCTGAAACTCTTTATTTCTGAATTAAGTTGATTCTCAGATCTGCAATTCTTTATTTCAGATCTTGACAAGATTTGCAGGATGAAACAATGAAACTCAATAAACTCAGTGAATCAGTGAGAACCAGGTTCCAAAAGATTCTGCTAGCACCAGAGTTTAGCAGAGTTAGCAGAAATCGGCTGCTTATAGAGCAGAATATTTCAAAGAGCAGCAGACAGAGCCCCGCATTTGTCAAATTAAGATTGCAATCGATTACATAATTGATTTTAAGTAAATGATTTAAACTCTAAAATGTAATAATACAGGAATTTCATAAAATTCAAATTAAGGGTTTTTGGTTGTGTAAAAACAAATTATATTGTTTAAAAAGGTGGTTTTTCAAGTATAAATATGTATATACTTGTTCTAAGGAGGATTTGGGGAGGGGCAGTGGGCGGAAGGCCTTTTTGGCCTTTTTTCACGAAATTTAGCCTGCGGCGCGTAAAATTTGACCAAAACAGGGTCTTTTTACTGATTTGAGAGAGCTCGGAAAATCAATTTGGTCGACCTAGAAAAAAGGTGAAAAATTTTGAGATAATTTTTTTGAAATCCCCCTCAAGAAAATCCTAGATCTGCCCCTGTACTTGGTATAAAATTCTTTAGAATATGTTTAAAATTGGTTATTTGTTTTGTCTAAAAAAAATATTTTGTCTGAAAAATGTAATTTTCTTGTCAAAAAACATGCTATTTGAGAGAAAATAAGGCCCAAAAAGTTGATTTAAGTGTGGTTTTTGGTCGCAAAAGGTACCAAAAAGTTGCGCTCAAGAAAAATCTCTCTCAGTAATTGTACCCAGGGAATTTTCTGTGCAAGATCTGAAGTTCCATATTTCCTACATAAGTTGATGCTCAGATCTGAAATTCTTTATTTCAGATTTTGATTAGAACTTGAAAATTTCAGATCTGAATTTTGGATCTGAAATAGAAAATTTCAGATCTGAAATAACCTTGAAAAACAAAATTTCAGATCTAAAATTAGATCTGAGAAACTTTTTGTTGATTTAAAATTTATGCATTTCGAGCAAACCAATGAGTTCTTTTGATGTTACTGCAATACACAATTATGTTTAGATTAACAAGCGGTAAAAAAAAACTTTCACAAACAATTTTTTAAACAGTTTTTCTACTGAATTTCTTATTCAACTGTGTTCAAATGTTTTCAAAAACTCTTAGAAGACCTATCAATTCTTGATTTTCATGCGTTTCCAATGTTTATCTCATGCTTGAGGAAAAGTTTTTTGGGAGTCTCCTATTTGAGATTTTGCTGAGTACCTTCTAGTATGAAGCAGAAGCTATCAAACACAAAATTATCAAAAATAGCAAAATTTGTGCCAAAATCATTGATAACCAGATCTAAAATATTCAATAAAAACTAAATTTCAGATCTTAAATTTGATCTGAAAATGATTTTGAAATTGATAAGATCTAAGAGTTATTTTTACATATCACAACCCAATTTAGATCTGAAATTTAGATCTGAAAAAGAATATTTCAGATCTGAATTAGGACATTTATTAGGCACGGGTGTGCATGCTGTATTATGTTAATTTAGCATGTTCTTTTTTCAGTATCGGTTGTGAGACGGCAGCTACAATTTGGTTCACGGCATTATAAAATGATGGCTTTCTGGAACTTGCTTAAATCTATGTATTGCTATTGTATTTATTGCTAAATTGATATCCTTGGTTGTTTTTACGATTAATTTGAATCGGTCTTATTTAGATTTTTTTGTTAAATATTTTTTGTTTTGTAAATTTTATTCAATTGGTTATCTGAAATTTAGTTTTTCTTGTTTATTTCAGATCTGAAAAATCAATGATTCTGACACAATTTTTGCCATTTTTGGTACTTTGTATTTAATAGCTTCTGCTAACTACTAACAGGCACTCAGCAAATTCTCAAATGGGAAACTGCCAAAATATGTTTTCCCAATCATGTGAAAAACATTGGAAAAAACTGCTTGTGAAAGGATTTGGAATTTTTTTACAGCGAGTAAAAATCTAACCATAATTGTGTATTGCAGAAACTTTGAAAAATAAAAACTCAATTGTTTGCTCGAAATGCATAAATTATAACTTAACAAAGGGTTTCTCAGATCTAGTTTCAGATCTGAAAATTTGTTTTTCAAGGTTATTTCAGATCTGAATTTTTCTATTTCAGATCCAATTTTCAGATTTGAATTTTTAAAACCTTGTCAAGATCTGAAATATAGAATATCAGATCTGAGAATCAACTCATATATAAAATAAAGAATTTCAAATTTTGCACACAAAAATCCCATATTATGGGAAAGGTGCTAGGGAAATGTTTTTGACCAAAAATGTGCCTCATTTCAAGTTTAACTCAATTCAATTTGGATCAGTTTTGAATTCGGAATAGTTTGCAGGCTTGCTCTAATCGTTAGCATTATGCCCGCAGCATCAAAAACAAAACATCCGAGTGCTCTTAAAT